TATCAGGTATTATAAGTAATCTAGAGGATGCAGGAGGGGACTGGGGATGCAGGGTACTTGCCTAGCATGTTGAGGCCCTCGGTTCCATTCCTAGCACTTCATACACACAGAGAGAAAGAAAAAAAGAAAGGAAGGAAGGAAAAGAGGAAGAAAGGAAGGGAAAAGCATAAAGAAAGAATAAAGGATAAGGAAGATATACACAAGTTATATGAAATTGTTATGCTACTTTATTATAAGGGACTTGACCATTGACAGATTTTGGTATTTGAGGAGGTCCTAGAACCAGTCCCCCAAGGAGTTGGAGGGGTGACCGTATAAGAGGACAATATAAAAACAGCTTTCAGAATTTAAGGACCGATGGTGCAGCTGGATCTCAGAAGATCTCACAAAAGACTAGAACCAAGAGCCAGAGTGGCTTCATGGCATGTCTTCCTATCGCCATGGGCTCTTCTCTAAGTTTCTCTCTTCCTCAGTTGAATGATTTATCCAGCTTCAAATCCAAACAAGAATCTGATGGGTCTAGCTTCATTTGGATGCCCCCACCTTGGTCCAATCAAATGGGATGGCCACCCACGTAGATACCACCTGACCCCCATTCCCGTCATAGTTAGGTGGAGCAGTGATAGCTGCTCTTCATGAGCATTCTGGAAAGTCAGACTCTAGGGAGTCTCCTGCCTCCTGTCCTTCAGTTGCCAGTGTCTCTGTCTTTTCCTCCATCATATCGTCTTGTCTCTGACTATTTACTGACTCTTTATTGTATGATGGCTTTACAGATCTGCATTATTCAACATATTCTCATTCAGGCTGGGGCTGACGGAAGGTGGTTGCAGGGGCAAGTGTCACATACCTTCTCACGTGGCTTGCATTCTAGCAAGGAAAGCAGACACTAAAGAGCCAGTGGACATGTAATCTCTGATCCCAACTTTCCATTTTTGTTCCAATTTATATTCATAATAGTCTATTTAAGATGGAAGGGAGAGGGAAGAAAAAGAGATGAAAATGTGTGATATATCCCTACTTATCTAATTAACCATGCAGAATGGGTAAAGCTTTAAAAGTTGGTTAGGACACCCTAACCAATGTACAATGTAAGGCTATTCACATTTGTTACAATGAATAATCCCTGTACAATGAATATATGCTAATAAAAACGAAAAGAAAAAGAACATTCTGCAAGAAGGTGTTATTTTGGTTTTGTTTGTTTGTTTGTTGTATTTGGGGATTGCCTTTTTCTTTTCTTTTCTTTTCTTTTTTGCAGTAGTGGGAATTCAACTCAGGGTCTCATGCTTGCTAGGCAACATTGTTTTGTGGTACTGGAATTTGAACTCAGCACTTCTCACTTGCTAGGAAGGTGCTCTACCACTTAAGCCTCCAGCCCATCTTTTTTTTTTTTTGCCAATTTATTCACACAAAATATTTTAGTATCCTGACAATAATCAGATCTGCCCGTATACCCGTATGTAACTAATCAGCTGAGATGATGAAGCAAGTGTGACTATTTAGATACTTTTGCTTAGAATTACTTCATGCTCATATATTCTCTTTCTTAAGGAACTAAAATGTCATTAATGCAACTACAAATGTCCCCCCCATCTTCCCTTGCCTCCCACTCACAGGCAGCCTACACATGTCTGTATTTTTTACCATATGTGTACCATTCATAAATAGCATATATCATTGTTTTGTGTTTTCCAAATTTGCACCAGTAGTATTCTGTCCATTTCACTTTGTAAATTGCCTTTTCTACTCCACATTATTTTTGAGATTTAGTGACATTGTTGCCTGTTAGTTCATTGCTCTTACTGCAGTAGAATAGTCTATTGTTTGTAGGAACCCGTTTATCCATTCTCCTGCTAAATAACACTGTTAAATGGCTTTCATGTTTTTCTCTTTGCAACTATTGCGCCAATGAATGCCTTTATACCTGTTTCTTTAGACACATGCTCACAAGTTACTAGAGGGTCAATAGCTAGGTGCGAAATTGTTGTGTAGCCACTAACTTTCTAGGCAAATTCTAGCAAGTGACAACCACTCAGCTGTTATTTCCTCAACCATGAAATGGGACCGAAGTTTATGACACAGAGAAAATGTGAGAATTTGGAATTTTAAAATAATAATTCCAGAAATGAATTCTAATATCTTAAAAGAAAAAAAAACAAGTATGGTGGCACAGGTCTTTAATCTCAGCACTTGGAAAATGGACGCAGGAGGAGCACAAGTTCAAGTCCAGCTTGTGCTACATAGTTCAACCCCGCCTAAAGTAAAAAGAAAAGAAGAAAAGGAGAGAGAGAGAGAGAGAGAGAGAAAGAAAGAAAGAGCCAAGTTGGGCTGTGGTGACACATGCCAGACACATGGGAGGCTGAGGCAGCAGAATCACAAGTTCAAGGCTAGATTCTATCCCCCAAAAACCAAAACAATGACAATAGAAACAAAAGAAAAAGAAAAGAAAAAAATCAGAATGTTGGTAGTGGATGAAGAGCCTAGTCAATGATATAAAGGAAACTGGGGAATTTTGGAATGTCCCTTCCTACAATGGTGATTGACCTGTCCTCTCCTTTTGCTGTGCCTCTGAGCCCCCCCATCTCACATGGCGGTCAACACTGTAACCCACTGGCTTCCCTCACTCCCACCCCAAGCTCTCTGGAGTGCAGGCCACATCTGGATCTGGCTGGCACCCATCTCTGCAACTGGCCCAGCACTTCTCCTGCCAGCCTGGGAGTGCCTCCAGTTGGTGGTAAGACTGGCTCAGAGGTGGGCATTTATATACTTTAGTATGTAGATTTTCTTATTTCTTTTCTTTCTGTGGTATTTTCATTTAATAATGGAACTATTTGGCTGCAAAATAGTTCTGCAAAGAATGATGATCACATTTGAGAGTACAAAATTTAGACCCTTTATGAGAAAGCACAGCCTTCAGATGACACTGGCACAGCTCAACAGTGTCTCTGTAAGTTCCATTGGGACCTCCCTGCAAAAGACCTGAGGCAGAGGACAAGGCTTATCTGGGGAGAGTCCCAGCATTTTAAGCCAGCAATTGGCTGGAAGAGCACATGTTGCCCTGTGAATCTGCCCTACTTCTGTTCTTCATTTGGCCCCAAATGTGTACCTCCCCCCGCCATGGCCTCCAGTTCAGCCTTTGGTTTCTTCTAGTAAAAAATACGTTTGAGTGCAGAGCAGGGCATCTGGAGACTCAGCTCCTGACTTCTTGCATGGGCTCAGTCACCCCTAGAAAGCAAACATGTAGCTGAGCCAGGGTTGCCAAATACCCAGGGGACAGAACAGAGATGCTGCCAGAAGAACTTTTTTTTGGATTCTAGAGAATCCACAACGAAACCCAGAAGTTAGAGAGCCCTAACTTGGCCATATGAAATTTTGAAGAGTTCTGCAAAGAATGGTGTCATAAGGACTAAAGCCTGTGAGCACTAACTTTGCAGTTGGCTATACTGAGTCTCCTTCCAGCCTGCACCCACTTGGCTGTTGGGATGGTCTGCTACTTTCTCTGATTTACTGGCCCCTCACTTATGAAATAGTGACAGTACCTCTCTCATCGAGTTGTGGTGAGCACAGTGCCTGGTACAAAGACGGTACCAAATAAGCTTCTTCCGCAGTTGACACTCAGCTGTGGATTCAGGTGTGTGAATACAATGTATGGATGCAACAAAGTGGCCATGGTCCCAAACTCATCTTTTCTTTGTGGTCTCTGAGGAAATCACTTTTCTCACACTCCCAAGTCATCTCAGACATCTCCCAGCCTGGCGTGTAGCAGAGGAGTGTGGCAGTTAAGGGTGAAGGCTCTGAGTCCAGGTTCCTGGGTTCAAATCCCAGTTCAAAGGCTTGCTGTCTGTGGTACCTTAGGAAAATGGATACTACAAACAAAAGTAGTAGTGTCAAACTCAGGAGTTGAGAATTTGACAAGCACATTGATTGCAAATAGTGAGGTCTTAGTAAGGATACTGATATATTATATCAGTAGCTATTGGCACAATGATCAGCCCATTCATTTCTTAGGCCCTAGTCTGAGGCCCCAGTGACACAAATGTGCTTCAGTGCCAGCCTCCAAGGAGCGCCTGGTCTCTGGGGAGAAAGTGGGCAGGGAAGATTGACTATGGCAAGTCAGTGATGCGGCAGCATAGGGTGTTAACCAACCTAGACCAGAGATGAAGAGGAAGGGGAAAAGAGAAGATGGGTCTTGAGAGAAGGGGAGGAATCAGCGAGGTCACGGGGCGAAATCAGAGAGGTTAAGGGGAGGAGTCAGAACAGTCCAGACAGCAATCAAGGAAATGGAAAGAGGTTATTGAAAAGAAAAAAAAGAGCGCCCCTGTTTTAGGCACGGGGGAGACTGCTGTGAACGAGACATGCTCTCATTAAAAAGTAGCTGACACTTCTGTCTCAAGTATTACGTGCTCCACACTTCTGTGCCTGCATCATGCATGTTAACTAGGAGATAACGCATCTTACTGTCACCTCCATTTTACATTAGTATAACAGGGCACAGACAAATCTGGTTTTGCACGGACTTGGTCCAGGTGGAAAACAGGAAAGTCACATTCTGGTGACCTATTCCCGGAGCTACAAGTGGATTATTTTGGCTAGAGTCCTGCATCAACCAATGCAGTCCTACTAAGGCCAGCCTGTGATGCCTGAGGGGCTGGGATGCCAAGGATGGTGCGCTGGGCAGAGGTTGGCTCCGAGTCAGCAAGGTGTGACTCAGGAAGGCTGTTGCAAGACCCAAGTCAGAGATGGCAGTGGCTTGGGATGTGGCAAGGGCAGGGGGCTGCAAGGACGGCTATGGCTTCCTGCAGAGAGGGTCTCCAGGGGGCAGAGGAGACAGGCTGGGGGCGTGAGATCGTCGGCGCCCGGGCTGGCCAATGGCCGGGCGGCAGCCCCTCCCGCGGGGCTGGGGGCGCGGAGGGCGGGGCTCCGGCTGCGGGCTCGCTTGGGTACCAGCACTGCCGCATCCCCGTGGGTCTGCCGCGCCACTCCTGCTCCTGCTGCTCGGTGGCGGCTCTGAGACCAGGCGCGGACAGATCCAGCCCGCATCGCTGCTCGGTCCAGTCGGGTGGGTGAGGGGCGGCGGTGGGGGCGGGGTGGGGATGGCCCAGCTTGTTCTCGCCTGGGTGGGTGCTGGGCGGGGTGTTCGACTCCTTTCGACCGCGAGAGGAGGCTGACCAGATGGGGGCTGAGAGAGATTTGGGTGGGAGTGTGCGTGTGTGTGTATGTGTGTGGGGGGGTCCCAGATATATAGCTGCGCTCCGACCTCGTCAAGCAGGGGGCAGGGCTCGAACCCAGTACGGAACTGGTGTGAGCAGAGGCGGAGGTGGCTATTAGTGTAGGAGACCCAGGTTCTTTGGCTCCAGAGAGGGGGCGGCGAGCAGAGCTCCCCCAGGTACTAGAAGGCAGGGTGCGGAGGGGATCCGGGAGCAGGGAGGGCGCGGGGCTGAAGTGACTGGGGGGCGCCAGCGTCCTGGAAGAGCTGCGTCTGGAAGCAGGCTGGGTTTCGCCCTATCTGGGGGCGGGTGCCGGGAAGAGGGGCGCCGGGGGGCGGGCATCGAGGCGGGGCGGGGCTGGGGAGAGGGGTGGTCCGCGCGCCTCTGACCGGGTTCCGGGACACACAGGCGGCGGCGGCCCGCGCGGCGTAGACATGCAGCGGCTGTACCTGCTGCTGTTGGTGGTGGTCCCCACCGCCCCCGCGCCCACGCCGACGGCGACTTCAACCCCAGTACAGTCTGGCCCCGCACTCAGCTACCCGCAAGAGGAGGCCACCCTTAACGAGATGTTCCGCGAGGTTGAGGAGCTGATGGAGGACACGCAGCACAAACTGCGCAGCGCGGTGGAGGAGGTGGGTGCGTCCTGAGGGCCCGGGCGGGGAATGTAAGGCTTAGGGGAACAGGCCTGGGGGAGACAGGGTCCTAGCGCTGGCAGCGGACCTGGAGTCGCTCAAAGGAGCCGGGAAGGGCGCGAAAGCAGACGCGAAGAGTGCCTGTGGGCACCTCACCACCGGTTCTTTTAGCCTACCTGTCCAAAGATCTAGGTCTAAGCCGGTCCACTGAGAGTCTCGGAGATTCCCTCCCTGGGTAGCTGGAATCACTATCTGACCACCATGCTGCAGTTGCCTTCAGTTGGCCTCCTCCTGTTGGAACTATGCTTGCAAGGCCCGAGGTATTCAGTGCTGTGGTTTTGCAAAAGGCTCAGGCAGCTCCAGGCAGCTCCCAAGTTCTAGCTTGTTGTTGGGTGTTGATCCTGTCGTATCTTCCCAAGATATGGTTAGGATGCCATGTGGGGACAAAGAGACAAAGAGCCCTGAGCTTTGCTGGCAGTCTGTCTTTGCTGCCTTGCTTCTTTTAGTACATTATAGGGCAGAAAAGGAAGATTAAAATCTTAAATCTCTGCTACGATGTAAGTCGGAAGAAAGGAGATGAGAATGTGAGAGGCAACCCCATTCCCTCAACAAGAGTATGTTAGGGCTCAGGGCTCAGTCCCCCCTCTGCCACTTGCTGTCTGGGGGACATTGCAAATCATTTAACACTCTGAACCTTGGTTTCCTTTGAGAATTAAATGCTGTAAGTGTGGGCCCTTGGCAAATAATAAGCGTGCACTATATATTAGCTATTTTTTATTATCACATACCAGATACCTTGGCTTCTTCTTTCCTTCACCTCTCAGTCCAAACACTGTGGATGCCATTCTGTTCTGTCTCTTATGGTGGGCCCCAAGCATGGAGAAAGCTGTCTAGGGCCTCCTGATCCAGGTGTGGGGAGCTGTCCCTGGCACCTGGGGTGGACAGGCATGGTCACTCTTGGGCTCAGCTCTGGCTGTAGCCTATTTTTGGAAAGGAGCTGCCATGCCAGTAAAGGAATCAGTGAGACACCACATGTCAGTTTACAGGCTTCTACACATTCCTGTTGTCTCCAACTTGGTAGTCCCCTTGGGCAGTTTTAAAGGCTGACTCTTGTCTACCGGGAGAGGTTGTTTTCTTCCCAGCCTTGTGTAGTTTGGGTATATTCACCCTCCCTCCCTCGCTCCCAAGAATCGATCTGATAGCATCTGCAGTGAAGAGGACACTAGGTTGGGAGGCAGTGACATGGATGGTTGTACCTGACTATGCACTGGACAGGCCCAGACTTCAAGACCCATGAACCCTCCGTTTCATGAGATGACAGAACAATTGTGATGTGGAGCGATTAAAGGGTGAGAGGCTTCAGGTCTAGAAACTGAACTTTAAATTAAATTGAACTGGGAATCCTTCTTGTTCCAAGGCAGGTCATTTGCTTTCCTTATCTGGGTTCTAGGATTTTCCCTCCAGCACACAGATTCCCAGTAAGACTGACTAGTTCATCTCCATGCTTTCATTCAGTAGGAAAATGCCCACTACCATTCAGAACATTTGCAGCATGATGAGGCCTGGCCCTCTTCAGCCTCTTCATTGATCAGAGCAATTTGGGGCCCTTTGGGACCCATGTCTTCTCTGTGGGAATTATCTACAGTGAATTTTGTCAGGGCTCTGCCCTCAGTCCCTCCAGACATGGCTCTACTGGAGTTGTACAGATTGACAGGCTGAAGTTTGCCACCAAAGGAGACATTACATCTACTCTAGTCATTTCCCAAGCAGTGTCTTCTTGGGCTGTAGGGACAACATGAGAGGATAATAGGCAGGAGAATAGGTAGCAGGAACCAACAGACCTTCCTCCATCCAATCCCAGCTCCGTCATTTACTAGTCAAGGGATCCAGAGCCTGAATTGGTGAGAATGTCCCCATTTCAGGGGAAAGAGAGTATTAAAAGAGGATCTTAGTAAAGCAAGTTACCTGACCACCTATAAGGAAGGTAAACAAAATAGATGTAATACAAGTATCTTTCTCGTGAGGTCATTGTGAAGATTTTTGGAGACTGTAGGTTCTTAGTAAATAATAGGTATTGTTATCATCATATTAATAGCAGAGAAACAGTGCGCCACCACCATCTGACAGATTCTCAATAGAATCAATTTAAAATATCTTAAAGTATTAAAAATTAATCTTGAAATACTAAAAATATCTTTTAAGAATAACTTCAAATACAGGATAGAATATATTTTAATAGATCATGGCTATCGGTTTTTGTTTTTTTTTTAAGAAGCACCAGCCGGGTGCCCATGGCTCATGCTTGTAATCCTAGCTACTTGGAAGGCTGAGATCAGGAGGATTGTGTTCAAGGCCAGCCTGGGAAAATGGTTCACAAGACCCCATCTCCAAAATAACCAGAGCAAAATGAACTGGAGGTGTGGCTCAAGCAGTAGATTGTCTCCTTTGCAAGTGTGAAGCCTGAGTTCAAATCCCAGCTCCACCAAAAAAGAAGAAAGAGGAGGAAAAGGAGGAAGGAGAAGAAAGGAAAAAGAAGGAAGAGGGAGGGGGAGGGGGAGAAAAAGGAGGGAGAGGAGGAAGAAGAATCCTGTGCCAGCCATGGTGGCACAAGCTTGTAATTGCAGTACTTAGCAAGACTAAGAGAGGAAGAGAGATTGAGAGAAAAGCTTCCGGAAAGCCCCTTAAATCTCATAAACACATGTGACAGTTGCTATTTATTTGTCCTCCAAAGCAAGAAACAAAGACCTGGGCCAGATGCATCAATTGTTTACATAGCTGCATCATGAATCTGCTTTCAAGTAACTTCCTAGTATTTTATTTATTCCAGCTGCCTCAAGCTGTTGATGTCTCTTAAGGGAAAAAGACAAGGCAGCTCTACTTCTAAGATCATTTATTAGGAAAAGCAAGTTTGCAAGTGGCTTCAATCTGGGATGTTCCTATTTTCCTGTTTTATTATTCTGTATGTTATTAATAACATGTATGTGGAGGATAAAAACCACTACGTTTCTTCTCCCCCTCTCATTGCCATGTCTGTAACTGGTGTATTTTAGACTGTTCTTGTTGTCTCCTTAGTCCTAAAATGAAGCCCAATACCAAGCCCGCATTTATCTCTGTGGTTTTTTCTACTGTGCCCCTTTAATAGACAGATTTAACCCACTGTAAAGGCCATTTTTAACAGCACTCACATTCCTCCTCTATGAAATAACTATTGCTTCAGGCTTAAGTTTCTCTTGCAAGTGGCAGTAATAGTTGTGGTTGAAATTTCCATTGTAAACTGTACTTTTAGTTCACAGTGCTATTAAAGAGCCGTTAGCTCATTCTGTTGAAACAACCACTGGCTGAGGTGGGGAGAGGATTTATAGAGACTGTCTGCTCAGCCACAGCAAACTGAAGATTTGGGAACTTGTCAGTTTTTTGAAGGCCAAACTGTACCATTCAGATTCCAAGGGGAATTTAAAAACATTAAAACATCTCTTTTTCCCTCTGTATAGGTCCCTCTGCCACTTTCAGTCTCCTCCTTTCCAGCTCTATCTTTTCCATCATTAAACATACCAGGATCTGCCACTTGACAGAAAAAAAAATGTCATATCTTGCCTTTCCTGTCTCTCATCCTGTTCTTTCTTCTCCACTTTGTCAAAATGTAGACTCTTCAAACACATGCGCTCTTTTGCCTGCCTCTCCCCATTCCAGCTTTTTTTTTTGGAAACTGCTTCCTTACAGGACAATGTTATGAAAGCAGTTACATTTTACATATTTGACATGTGACAGGTACTGTACCAATGCTTACATTTCATGATCCGTAATTGTTATATCCGCTCAACAAAGTAGGGTCATCTGCATTTATATCTGGTATCTTGCCCAAGGTCATATGGCTACTTTGGCACCTAACTGGGACTTGAACCCATCTTGTCTGAGTCTAGAACCTTGGCACTTCCTACCATGCTGTCCTCTGATGATGCTGGAGGCAACTGCTTGTGTAATTCAGGGGCTGTCTCTCCATGGTTCAGTCCTTCTAGACTTATTTGGAGTCTTTGCTGCCTAGAAGGCCTCACCCCCAGATAGAACTCCCTCCTAGACCTGATTCTAGTCAGCATCCTGACTCTTCTCTCCTCCTTTCCTAGTCTTTAAATTATCTCCCAACTAGTCTAGAATTTGCTATAGCTCCCAGTTACTTGGAGAAGAGGTTCTTGGGGAATCCTCATTGATATCTCAGGTCCCAGCTCCGGAAATTACAATTTGAGAAGTGTGAGAAGGGATCCTGGTATGCATGTATGTACGTATGTATGTGTATATATATATATATATTTTTTTTCTTGAGTTTTGGGTATGACTTTGAAGTTCCTGTTTGGTTGAGAACCAGACCAACAAACTCTGCTTTCCAGCTGCCCCTGGAGTCTGCCTGTTGACCTCTCTCTACTGCATCATCCACCACTTCCTCCCGTGTCCAATGTGGATCTCTGCTCCAGCTCATAGCACATACCTTGCCTGTTCAGGCTGATATAGCTTTGCCTGTGCTGTCTGTAGTATTTTCACATATCTCTTTATGCAGATCCTCTTCATCCTTTGAGACCAGCCCAAATCCTGCCTCCTCTTTCTCCTGGGAGCCTTGCTTATTTTTTCTTTGAACCCCTAACTTGCTTGTAGGAGAGATCATAATCATCTTTAAACTCATTTGTGAGGGCTCCCTTGTCTTCTAGTAAAAGATTAAGCTACCGGGAAAGAGCGTATTGGGAAAGGCATGTAATTTAGAGTCACGTGGACCTGAGTTCTAACCCAGGGTTTGCTGTTTAGTACTGAAATGATGATCTCTGCCAGCCTTGTTTCCTTCACCTGTGCCATGAGTGTAAACAGCACCTTCTCCATAGGGGTGCTGGGAACACGCAAGGTGTCCAGCACAATGACGAGGCACGGCCAATGCCCCACACATGGGGCTGTGATTATGAGTTACATTGTAGTCAGTGACCAGTTCTGTCAGTGACCAGTTCTATGCATGGCAGAAGCATCCCAGTGTGAGCACAGCACTGTGTACATGGCAGGAGTGCCTAAGCCCTTGTTGGATGAGTTGAGCCTCTGTGTCCAGCAGAATTCTTCACACACCTAGTTCAGTATGTTTGTGCAATATGGAGATATGAGGATTTTTTTTATCCCTGTTTGCTCCAGTTTGGCAAATCTGGCTGGGGGAGTAGAGAAAAGAAGGGGCTTAAATGGTAGTCAAGGGGACAAAGGACAATGTTTTGTTTTTCAATATGAAAATAATTCTTGAGGATTAGTTGTAAAGAACAAAAATAGCTCAGAATTATAGATAGCAATGTAGGAACACTGTCAGCCATCAACTTCTCATTTGAAATTGCTAGAGAGAGTATCTGATTGGCTCAACTGTCCATGCATGGTCTGCTGTCAGGTCCATTCAGCTATGAATGGGTCACATTGTCACCTGCCCACTTGTCAGGGTTAGGGCAGGGTGATAAATCTGGAAGCGTGTATAGTGTTGACTGCTAGATCTGATACAGATGTCACAGAGGCTCAGGACATTGGAGGATTTGAGGACATGACTATAGAAGCCTCAGAGAAGGACAGATAAATGTTCAAGAAGGGCCAGACAGGGTGTGGATCCTAGCTACTAGTTGGTTAATGCTCTAGAAGGGCCCCCTACACAGGTACCCAAGAGGAAGAGTGAAGAAGGAGACATCCTGTGGCCCTACCTGCAAGAAGATATGGTACTATCTTAGTTTGGGTCCCCCTACCACCACCACCACCAGACCTCACAATAAAGATTTGGGAGCAAATTATTATTTTCACTAACAGGAAGTGAGAAAGTGAGGTGGGAAAGAAGAAAGGCAGTAAATGTCCATGAGCAGTTTACTGAGATGGGCATTTAGGGTTCAGTCCTACTGGGACCCTCAGAGACTAGACTCGATATATTTTAGAATGGTCTTACAAGGAGAGAAAGAAGCTGGGGTTCTTATCTTATAACCTATCCCTCAATGCTAGAAATTGGGGCCTGTGCAGACTGAGCACACATCTGAGGTCAGAGAAAGACAGAGGTGATTTTGACACACATGGGAACAAAATGCAGGCGACCTTGGTTTAGGTCTCCAAGAGATAGGCAAGGCATCATCCATATTGTTACAGGGACCAAGATTGATTCATGAAGCATATTCAAGTTCCAACTTCACTCTTCTCTGGGAGTCTTGGGGGTCCAGCTAGCCTCCCTGAATCTCAGTTTCCCCATTTTCAAAATGGAGGCATTAGCAAGCAACAAGCTCTTAGGATGGTTGTGACATTTGGCACAATGTCTTGTCCTGATGAGGACTCATGGCCCATCATTGCCAACATCCTTTGGAAATGCAGAAAAGGGAAAGAGAGGTGGTTCTTTTTTTCTAGTGAACTCTCAGTTGTAACTAGAGGAAACAATTTTGTTCATTAAATTCATTGACCTGACAGATGGAGGCAGAAGAAGCTGCTGCTAAAACGTCATCAGAAGTGAACCTGGCAAGATTTCCTGCCAGCTATCATAATGAAACCAACACGGACACCAAGATTGGAAATAATACTGTCCATGTGCACCGAGAAATTCACAAGGTAAAGCTGGTTGTGGCCAGCACTTCCTTCTTCCTGCAGTGCAGTTCCTTCAGACAACTAAGGGCTTATTTACATATATTTAATACCCAAATCACAAGTGCAAATAAGAATGATAAAATACAGATTAAAACCAGGGGCGTGAGAGTCTATTTAATGGGGATAGATGTGTATCAGGAACCTAAATTGCTTTTGCATTTAAGCCAGTATTAAACTCTAAGCTTCCTACCAGTCCAGAAGGAGGAATTTATCTCAGGTTTCTAGGGTTGTCTGGGTAGGGATTGAAGCAATTTTGGTGAATGGATCCTCACTGTTTCCTCATAAAGAACTCAGATGTGGTAACACCCCACCTTCAGAAGGGAAACACTCTGTTGCCATGAGATTCAACATTCATTCACTTCCTGTTGTTCATCTAAAATTCTGTAGCAGATTTTTTTCCAACCTACCACCTGTCTCAGTATCTCTTGGTCTAACATCGTGGATGAGGACCAAGCAGGTTCATCCCAATCTGGCCTGATGAAGAATTTTGCAAATCTAGGGGAACATAGATAGCACTGACTGGCCTGCCCCATGTGTGAAATATCTCTTGTGTGATTTTGGCAGAAGTTAGCAAACTATGTCATCCTGTGAAGAGCATTTGCCAGGCAAATATTCAGGGTCATTGTTGGAGGCTGTAGGGTTGACATTCTACGTAAATATTAAGGAGCTTGACTGCTAATCTCATCTCAACCCCCGTATGCAAGGCCATGATGGCCCCCACCAAAGAGCATTGTGTTTCTGCAAGTGCCCAGGTAATTACTTGATTGAAACAATAGTGTTTCTGTGCCATGGAGCACAAGGAGAGCAATTTTATGGGCCATTGCCTTGACTATAAAGCAGCTTTTGTGAGACTCTCCTCTTACTGTATCCATTTGGATGGATGAGCTGTGCATGTATCCCAGGTGCGTGAATGAATTCACCAACTGAACAGAATCATGGATTTTGCTCATCTGAACACTGGGGAATGCTTCTGAACGTGATTATCTTACTCTTGTCAAAACCAATATGAAGTCATCCTTTCTGACTGTAATTAGCCAACAGTTTCTGTTGCATCTTAAAGTTGCTCCTGTACATGTCGGAATACCTGGATGTGAATCTCACCAGTAACTAGAGTGATTTTGAAAAAATGATTTCACTATCCTGAACTTTACTAATAGCACTTATAAAAACAGGGATATCAATATCTACTTTCTGGTATTGTGAGGGTCAAATAGCCTAAAGTATATCAAAACTTTGTAAACTATAAAGTCTGTACATAAGCAAGTTCTTCTTCTTGTCATTGTATTATTATAGCAAATTTGTGTAACCAGTACAGTACAGTAATCTCAGGTAGGTTCCATGGAGCACCAGTCTTGGGCAGCATTTCATGAAATGCTTTTGAAAATATTGTATAATTCTCCTAAAGATGAGAAATGTCTTGGTGCAATAAAGGCTCCAGGAAATCCTGCAACCTATACATACAGGACTGCAGAATGTTTTAAAATATGACATTGGTTTATCATATGCAAAGCTGGCATGAAGGAAGAAGACATCATCCTCTTTCCGGTAAAATTGAAAGGCACGATGAAGACATGGTCCACACTTCCTCAGACCTGGAATTTGATCCCTTACTGCAAACTAGGCTGTTTCTACTTTGTCCTGGGTTCAGACTCCTGTGACTAGAGCTGGCAGGGGTTTATAAAATGATGTAGAAATGAAAAAACTGAATCAGAAAAGAGAAACGACTTCTTGCAGGTGACATACAGATGGTTGTTAGCAACTGAGCCAGGGCTCAGAGAACACAATCTCCTAGCTCCTGGGCCAAGCCAGCCATTAGACCTAGCCTTTGAGGGGTCAGGAGTAGCCTAGGGCCCATGCTGGGCTTGATTCGAGGTGTCTGCACTTAGGAACAGAATCAGAGGCAGACGATGGACAGGACACAGGGCAGGTCTCCTGTTGTGTTCAAGCACTTTCTTGATGAGATGATATCATTCTGCAGAATCAGGAGGGTGGCTGCTGTGGCCGGGACCTGCTTATCTTTCATAAAGAAACTTGACTAGACACCAGACATGAAATCTGTGAGAACAAAAGTTGTCACTGTGTGTCAGGTGTTGAGCCGCAAGGATAGTAAAAAATAGCTGCCATTGGGAGTGCTTTCTAGGTGTCAGGCACTGTGCTGACAGTGGCAACTGTCAGATCATTTCCTCCTCATAGCTCCCTGATGAGGCAGACTGTTAATATCTCCTGGCACAGCTCGAAGGGAGCTGTTTGTCCCCCAGCACTGGTGGCTGTGCTCAGAAGAAGGGGGTGGGCAGCCTGGCTACTTTTAGCTCAGGTTCCTTCTTCAGAAAATTAAAAAAAAAAAACAAGAAAAACCTGGTGGGATTTTCCCAGAGTTGCTTTGTTTCACTTTCACTCTGTTCTATTGTAGATAACCAACAACCAGACTGGACAGATGGTCTTTTCAGAGACAGTGATTACATCGGTGGGGGATGAAGACAGCAAAAGGAGCCACGTAAGTTGTCATTTCCCTGCTCTCGCTCCCCAGGCACATGTGCTTTTATCCAGCCTGCCCCAGATGACTCAGACTGCAGGCTGGGGGTGGGGGGTAGGAGGAGAGTGGGAGGGGACGGGCTCCTGTTTCCTGTCCTGCCTTGTGTCTACTGAGAGTCCCCATTCCTCCATTCCTGCCGGATATGCAGTCTGGTAGCAGGCTATGCCTCTAGGCACCTGGTCTCAGAAACAACAAGACATTAAACCCAGTTTGCATCTTTGAAAGGGGAGAAAGCAAGTACCAGATATATGGACTGGGGCCTCTGGTAGCAGACCCAGTGTATCAGCCAGTTAGGTGCCCAGTGCCTCAGGGATGGCCCATGCTTGTGTCATCCTAGCCAAGGGGTTTGAGACCAAGAGCGTGTCAAGTGGAACCCAAGGGCCTAACTGGGAAAAAACAGCCTGTCGTATTTCAGGCTTCAGGCTCTGGTCCCTGTGAGTGCTGCTGCAGATTGTCCGTGGCTTAGCTCAAAGGTAGGATGGGTTTTGTAGGATTCTAAAATCCTTAAGTTTGCAGGATGTGATTTCACAGATGGAAAACCTGGGCTCATGTGGGAGTCGCTATTCTAACTTCCAGGCCAGATGAGATTTGACTACATGTGGACTTGGTCAGCAGTAACCAGTTCTTCCTTCACAGGAATAGCCAAGACTCAGCCTATGCTGTATGCATGCTGTCCTTCCAATGACATTGGGGATTCGTGTCCACTGCTTTGGGCCTTCTTGGTAGAAGAGAACAACTGGTAATAGTTAGCAAGGTGGTATTACTTTGATTGGCAGTCAGATTCTTTTTTTTTTGGCTTGGTTTTGTCTTGTGATAACTGTGGGGAACCGGCCAACATTTACTGTGGGCTGGGTGGCCATGTGAGGGTGGTCACTCACCATTCAAGAGGCCTGTCGGTCAGTGGAGGGAACCATGCTGTGAACTAGACAGGCCCTGGTTGTGGAGCTAGATGCACAGGTTTATCACCTATGAGCCAGGGAACCTGGGTTTCCTAACCAAGTAGGTCATGATTCACACCCTCTCTTAGCCTCAAAAGTACAGAAGCCTGTGAAACAAAGATGGAGTTAACTAAGGCTGAAAGGAAAAGAGGCCAGCTTTCTAAGGAGGCAAGAGGGAGAGGAAAGCAAACCAAAACAGCCAGCCACAGGATGCGGTCAGGCTTCCTAGACCGAATGCTAACAGAGTACTTCTGAGGCTGTGTTTGGGGGCTGATGGGAGATGGAGGGCCTGTGCAGAAGTCACACAGTGAAAAGATCAGGGCCAACAATTAGAAATAAAGCCTTTATTCTCAAGTTACTAATACAAAAAAAAAAATTAGTGTATCATTGCACAAGGGGTCAGCGTGGCTCCAGAAGCTTCCCCAGCCCTGAGTTGTACTCATGATCACAACTGCACATGCTGGCGGCTGAGGTGCACATGGCTGCACTGCAGTGTGCACGACCTGCATTCCTGCTCCAGTACTGAGTGAGGCCGCTGGGGCAGGTTTGGGTGCTGTGGTGGGGGAATTGACATTCTCTGAACAATGAGTAGATAAGAGACAAGATCTCAAAGATGCCCAGAGGGTGCCTGGGACAGGGGACAGCTGCCTGCGCTCTTGCGCTGTGTGCCATGAGTTTGTAGGAACTTTCCTGATGTGCATGGCCTTCTGTGTCCATGTGTGTCCCTGCTTCAGGTCTTAGGTGGGAAGCCCAGAATCTCAATGTGCCCATGCGATCTCATGTTCATTGAGTGACAAGGGACATAAGCGTGGCACCCTTGTGCAGTGCATAATCTGAACCCTTCTGTGCGACAGTCCTAGAATGCAGGTGGCTAAGGGGGATCAACAGATCCAGGAAACCCAAAAGGGAGAGGCTTGTCAGGTTTTCCTTGATTTCTGCTCAGGTCCAGAGAATGTGAATTCACTGAGAATAAATGCCACCTTGATTGGCTAGATGGGAGACCTGAGGATCTGAGGCTTGACTGGTTAGTGTCTGGCATGTCCCACAGGCTTTTGACAACAGACTGGAGGCTTTACAAACTTCCCGGAAAGGGAATGTCATATGGCAGAGACGGCACGTGTACCTCACTGTAGAGCCTTGCTTATGTAAAAGAGTGGCCTATCAAAGGCCAGGGCAACAAGACCTAGTGTCGAATGCCCATATCATTCTTCATCCAGCCACCCTTCCATTCTGGGTTCACCATTGTCCAACATTGAGCCAGGACTCAGGCGCCATCTTTACAGAGACATGGAGATCCTTTTACTGAGCGGGAAGCTGTGGAGGCCAGATTGCTTTCAAAGAAAGGCAGAGGGTTGTGTGCTGTCACCTCTGTCTCACTCTGTAGTTTTGCAACTTAATGATTTTTATTGTTGGGTCTGAACTATACTTCACACCACGGAAGCCATCTCTTAAAGGAGAAAAGAAGATTCACTATTCCAAAGGGCAAAATCATATGCTGTTCAAACCTTCAGGTACCATAAACAGGGGCTGAGTTTTCAGGATTTAAAATTCCCAGGAGAATTTGATTAAAAATAGTCACCAAACATCTCACATTTGCCTGTCTTTAAATGCCGGTATGTGTGTTAATATGTATGGTAACCTGAGGAGGCTCATGGAAAGTTACAGACAGTAACACTATATGCCTGTCTAGAAATATCGCAGTCTGAGCAAAGCACTGGTCTGTTTTTACACTCAAGTGTGTTTTGGAGGGAAGGACCCCATGGCGTGTTATTTCACCTGAGTGCACTGGCTGATGGTGATGTGGCCTGAAGTCCTTGTTAGGGGACTTTTGTGCTGAGCCCTCAGCCTGGCCCCTTCACGGGCCAGTGGGCAGCTGACCTATTGTGCTACTTTCATTAGAGCAGGGGAAGTGGAAGGTAGAGAATGGCAGGCCATTGTGCTTCAATAGGAAGCTTTTATTTCCAGAACAGTCTGCCCAATCAGCCAAGGCACCCTTTCGAAAGAATCTGTCCTCTAATTAAAATACAGCTCACAGCCACCAAGCGTATTGCATGCTTTGCATTTGTTGTCTTTCTTGCTTCACCTAAGGTGATATAACAGAGTGAGTATGTGTTTTTCCACCTGAATGCACCTGTTTGAAGCTACAAGTTCACTCATGTCCAACCAACTCCAAGATATTAGTCCATATTTCTGAGGCCACAGCTGGATGTATTTCACTACCCAAAACACCCAGGCCATAGAAATTTGAGTGACTCAGTAGTGACTTTCTTGTTGCAGAGCGGGCCCACTATTGATGGTGGACTGAGGACAGAGCCTAGGGAATTTTTTGCAAGTGTGAAACCAGTGCTTTGTCAGGATGCTTTGCCTGTTCATTATGTTGGAGACTGGGGTATTAAACCATGGTGGGATTGTTGGAAGTTGTTTGGTTTGTTTTCTTCCTAGGGAGCAGTAGGCATCCCATCCCCTGGGTGCACAGAAAGATCAAACCTGGCTATGGAGAGAAGAGCATGAGTGAGACCTGTTTCTCCCTCAGGTCTCCATTCTTCCTTTCTCCCAACTTGGTCATTAATCAGAAAAGAAAGACAGCTGGTGCACTCGCTTTGTATCCTTGCTGGCCTGGTTTCTTTTCCTGCAGGCTGTCAGGTTAAAGGCATGCCAGAAGATACCGTGCTGTCCAACTCCTAGGGGTTATTTTAACAGAGTTGTACTGGGAAGGGTGAAGCCTTCTGGGGAGAGTGAGTCAGTATGTAGCGGTTCTTTAGGCCTCCAGGGAAGTCCTGAGGTCCGAAGGGCTGAGGCAGTTGAGCTCCAGGAAACAGCTCTTCCTTCTGTCAGTCTCAAGACAGAATGGAGAAGTCCCAGCAAATACCAAGGAAGACATGGGTTGGAGCCCTGCCTGTGCCTATCGGCTCTGCTCATCCATCAAATTGAGCCCATAATCTTCCTTTCACAAGATCCAGTGACAATCAGTGTGGCGAGGTTTACAAAAAGCTCCTTGTGTGATGAGGCTCATTATTATGGAAAAGTAATTAAAACTGGGCTATAATTGGGATCCCAGCAACCTACTACAAAAAAGAATGGAATTAGGCTGGGAGCTGAGGTTTCATGGAGGGGCCTCTCTCCCCTGATGGTGAAGTCTTGGACTCATTTCCTTCTGCACCTCTGCCTTGCCCTCTGAGGAAGAATTTACCGGGAGATACGTGCTCCTAACCACAAGGTTGACTCATCCACTCGCTGTTCCTCTGTATGTGTCATTTGTGTTTGGGGTGGGTGCTGAGATGCAAACAGAAGGAAGGAAGGACAGGCAGTCATGCATGACAAGAGGAGTGGTTTATGGTCAGGTGCTGACACGTTTAAGGTTGAGGTCCCACGTGGCAGAATGTGCACCAGATACTGTAGAAGACAACAGACCTGTTGTTCTGAAGATGATGACTTAGTGTCATAGGATATCCTGTTCTATAGTCTTCTCCACAATTGTAAAAGAAAGTGGTACATTTATATTTCTAGGTCATATTTCAAGTTGATTTTGTGATTTCTGCCCCTCATGCTTTAATCCAGTAGGGAAAATTAAAAAACTCTATTATTCTGAGAAATGGGTGACTAACCCTCCCCCTCCCATAAAGTTGATGTGAGTAATGTTTATGGGATGGGTTAGTTTTTATTTATTTTTTTTGTCAGTACTGGGATTTGAACTCAGGGCCTTGAGCTTGCTAGGCAGGCACTTTTGAGCCACTACACCAGCCCTTTTTGGATGGGCTTTTTTTTTTTTTTTTTTGAGATAGGGTCTCATGAACTATTGTTAGGAACTGGCTTTGAATTGTGACCTTCCTGATCTCTGTCTCCTGAGAAGTTAGGATTATAACTGTGAGCCACCAGCACCTGGGTAGGTATTTCTTTTTGAGCCATAACCTGGAATGTTAGGTTGTATTCTCCTCAGTCTAAATACTTTCAAAAAGAAATTCTTTAAGTATAAATGATACTGTATCTAAATCAAAATGCTATGGAATTAATACATGAGTCTCA